GACTCCAGGCTCCTAACTTCAGTCTAGCACAACTCTGACTATTGTGAACACTTGGGGTGTAAACCAGTGGGTGGAAGAATTTTCTTTCTGCCTCATTTTCTCTACGTAAGTGTGCCTTTCCAATAAAAATAAATACAAATCTTTCAAACAGAAAATGTTTACCTAACCCAAAGGTCACAAGAATTTCCCCCTGTGTTTTCTTCTACAAGTTTTTATATGTTTAGACTTTTATGTGTAGCTCTCATATTCTCCATGAGTTGACTTTTACAAATGGAGAATATATACATCCCCAAACACTCTGAGATTAGTTTATTTCTGGCATATGGACATCTAAAGGTTCTAGTATTATTTGTAAAAAAAAAAAAGACTGCCCTGTCTCTATTGGATTGCATAATAGGTAAAACTACCACCTGTGGCATTGGCATCCCATGTGGGCTCCTGGTTGTGTCTCAGCTGTTCCACTTTAAATACAGCTACCTGCTGATGGCCTGGAAGCAGCAAAGGATGACACAGGTGTTTGAGAGATCCACATGAAGTTCCTGGCTTCTGCCCGGCCCATATCTGGCCATTGTAACCATCTGGGGAATGAATCAAAAGATGGAAGAATAGTCTCTGTCTCTCCCTCCCTATATATAACTCTGATTTTATAAATAAATACATCTTTTAAAAAAGGATTTTTCCCTTATATAGTAAATTTACATTTGCATTTGAATGTTAGAATAGTCCTTTAATTTCTTTTACAACATTGATATCATTTTTACTAAGCTTGTAGTGAATCTACTGATAAAATCAGCAAGACTTGGCATTTTGATAATATTGAATCTTCTAACCCATCATCAGGCTATTTCCTCTTCCAGTTAGGTCTCTTTTAGTTCTCTCAGTAAGGCTGTACAGGTGTTGCAAATGTGTGTATGGATTATCCATTATATTTCAAAAATTTGATGTTAAACAGCGTAATTCTAAAATGTAATTTCCAATGGTTATGCTGTCTACAAAATGACAGCAGCACGCTGTTTTACAATAACTGTTGAAGAATTATCTTGATTAAAGCACAACTAAAGTTGCATTTGCATGGTATACTTCCATAAAAGCATTAGGAGATCATTGCCAGTATATTCAAGCTAGGAATAAACATGTTCCAATAGTCAAATCTACAGATAACTTCAGAAGAATCATTCAGCATAATAACATGACTTAGGGGCTTTCAACTTTATATGTGTAGTTAAAAATGAATTCGTTGATATGCGTGGCTCTCTTTCACTGCGCAGTGAATCCACTGTAAAGAATTCTCAGAATCTTAAATGGTAAGAGAGGGAGAAAGAGCATTTGTCTTCATAGGTTTGTATATATGCATATGTATATTCATTTGTATATCATTGACACTTCTAGGAATGTCTATTTTGAGGAATACTACAGGTTAATTACTGTGATTATGTCAGTTCTTCTGAATGCGTAGCACATCTTGGAAAGGGGATTAAACTGACTGCTGTGCTTTTTCCTCACCTTTCCTATGCCAGCATGGTTACCATGGTGACTCAGAGACTGCTGTGAAATTGGAGGTACACTGAGCTTCCATTTATGATTCTCACTTGAGTCAATTAATACAGTGTTATTGTGTGCTGTTTTTCCAAAGCTGCTGTTTCTTCTAAAGTGATTAGCATTCTCTGATTTATTTGCTTGTTTAGTCATGCATATATTGTTTATTTATAGCAGGATGACTCAGATGTTCCAATTTCTTTCAAATGGCTAAATTCCACTATTATCATTGCAGGGGAGCCAGGGAAGCACAAAAGCATTATTGCACATCTTCAAGTGGGAAAAGGCAAGCCATGACCCACTCTTCCTTTCATTTAATGTACTTTTTCATCCTCTTACTTCTGTCTCTATTTCATCACCTTTCTTATCCCCTTGCTTTGTCTTCTAGTGTCATACCAGACAAGGGTTTGGATTTTGCACCCCAGAACTGAGAGCCCATAGAGAAGAACCAAACGTATTACTGAATCTGAGGTTCAGGGAAAGGGAGTGAAGAAATCTGAGTTTCATTGTGGGATATTTTACGTACATGCCATGCTTTCCAATGGCCTCATCTACAAAACAGAATCCTTCTGTATTGGTCAGCTTTTTGCTACTGCAATGAAATAGCTGAAACAACTGACCCTTCACTCTGCTGGTGTAGAATAAATTGTTCAGTTCTTCCTGAATGGGGAATACAAGTACAACAGCAACATCTATGATGTGTTATCTGTAAAATTCTTCACCTTACACTTTTGGATTGTAGATACTCAGTAGCTGGGCTGACATGGTTTCCTTATTTCTTTTTATCAAGTCAGCTTCTGCTTTCACCAATCCATTATTTTGTCATTCTCCTGTTTCCTCCAGTAATTTCCAACCATATGAGAGAATAGCTTATTGAGCTCACTATTTTAGAAGTTCAGGTCTGAGTCATGGTATCCCCATTGCTTTAGGCTCTGGTGAGTATGGAGGATGATAATGGTGAATTATGTGTGTAAAAAAAAAAGTCAGGTGGTGAACCAGGAAACAGATCAATTTGATTGGCCCCAACTTAGTCTGTTGTAACAATCATGAGAACACAAGAGGTTACATGAGAACTTCTTTCCCAATATGTATCCCTAATGACTTAAAGATCTCCCATTAAACATACTTCCCAAACATCATAATTGAGTTATGCTTTCACCCTTTACATACCACTGAATTATGACTTTGCAGTTGAAAACGTGTATGAATTCAATTCAAATTATATCCAAACTATAGAGCCTCCCAACCAGCAAGAATACTCTGGAGACTGAGAGCCCATATGGGAAAGGAGGGAAGACTAGTGCATTTTTAGAGAATTGCATTAATAGAGACACCACAGATGTCCCAGAATTTTCCATGAAAGACAATAAGCAACTCATATTGAAATGTGAGCTATTTAGGTTAATATTTTTCCAAGTATGGTTCATGGACCACTTTGAAACCAAACCCCTATAATGTAAAACAGAACCCAGACTCCTGTCTGTCTCCTGTAGCACCTGCTGCCCTTGCCTATCCGTTATCAAAAGGAATTCACTGATTTAAGAGTGTGATCCAACTCACCTTATGAAGTTATAATCTCCGGACTCAGTGAGTCATTTGCTTCTGCAATAGAAGAGAACTTCAATGGCCAGTGTTGCCCTGGAGTGATTAGGGTAGGGGAATTCCAGGATTGGGCAGAATGTAACTGTCACATTCATGTAACTCCCAGAGCAATTGGAGCCCACCTGCCCATCAAATTCCCTAAAGAGTACAACCACCAATCAAAGGTAGGTCACAAGCTCCACTGACCAACCAGCAACTTGGACATAAACTGGTCACGAACCACTGAGTTCCAAATTTAACTTATATGAACCTTCACCCCTAACTCCTTGGAGAGCCCTGGAATCAAGTGACAGTGGCCAGGCTCCGTGCTCTGTGCTTTGCAACAAATACCTACTACTAAATAAATGAATCCACCACCCTGATGTCAGTGATTGGCTTTCTGCATGTCAAGGGAGTTGAACTAGTTTGGGAGTTCTACACCAATGCCTCAAATTAGTTTGGGCTATTTTAGGCAACAACTTACTAAGGATTGTCAAGGAGTACTTGCTAAAATAGCAGTATTTTGCTAGACTCTGAGTCTGCTGAATCACAGCAACAGAGGGTCAGAGAAAAATGTCTACTTTTTTAGTCATTTTTCCAGTTGGTTTTGGTGTTCATCCACATTTGAAAAGTACTGCTGTGGACTTATAACAAAGTTGTTATATTTTGAATCATTTAATATTTGGTCTCATTGCTCGTTACTCCTGCCACTCAGCTTAAAATACATGTCTTCTGTGTCGTATCAAACAGGTAACAATTTCCTTCAAATAATTAGTATTTTAAAGATTTATTTTTATTTGAAAGGCAGAGTTACAGAGAAAGAAGAGACAGGGTGAGATATTTCCATTTCTTGACTCACTCCCTAAATGACTGAAATGGCCTGGGGTGGTTCAAAGTAGACCAGCTGGGAAATAAACCGGTGCCCATATGGGATGCTAGCATCACCTATGGAGGCTTAATCTACTATGCCACGACATCAACTCCTCAATTAATATTTATTCAACAACTTATATAAGAGGTTCTGATCAAGAAATAGCAGAGAACAAGACAGACAGGGCCCCCGGAGTATCATTTCCCTTTGGGCAGACTAGCGATAAGCAGACAAGGAAATAAGCAGCTTAATTTTCTGTGGGGATTGGCGCTTTGAAGGAAATAACCATATACAGTAGAAAATTACTCGAAGAAGGATTATTCTAGAATGGAACTGTTATTAAGGTTTTCTCTCAGGAAGTGATACTTCAGTGTCCCTGTGTCAGCTGTAGCACCAGTAGACCCAGGAGCAAAGGAATAGCTGGCATAGCTGGAGCCTGACAGAAGTGGTACCCACATATGGGAGGGGAAGTGTTAGGGCTGAAGGGAGTGTGGAGGGTTAGAGTGTCAGCATAGCATGGTCTGACTCAGCTGTCAGAAGGAGACTCTGGATGCTGTGTGCCAGTGGACAGGAGAGCACAGGCTGTGAGGGAACATTGGAAAAAGGCAGGGGAAGGAGGGGGGTAAAATAGGTCCCTGCAGCCGTGAGCAGAGGGAAGGTTGCCTCTGACTAGACTTTCCTGGAAAGGCAGGCAAGCCCTGCAGTGGCTGTGTGGGGTTGTAAAGACAGAATCTGGGACGATCCCTGGGCTTTTGGTTTGGCCTTGTGGAAATCCGCTGCTGCTGTTTTCTGAGCTAGATTTTTCCCTACAGTCGGAGGTGTTCTCGGATTAGTTCAGCTCATAGCGGTTGTAGTAAAAATCAGTGATTGGCAAAAAAGCATCCGGGCGAGGAGCGCTCCCAGCGACGCGCGCATTTGAAGAGGTGCGGATCTCAGGAGCAGGTGCCGCCCCAGGAAGCAGAACCCAGAGCCCTTCCTGCCGGTGAAAACAGGATCGCGGTTTAGAGACAAGATGAATACAGTGTTGTCGCGAGCGAACTCGCTGTTCGCTTTCTCACTGAGCGTCATGGCGGCGCTCACCTTGGGCTGCTTCGTAACCACCGCCTTCAAAGACAGGTGCGTACCGGTGCAGCTGCAGGTTTCCCGGATCCTGCTAAAAAACATAGAAGACTTCACTGGACCCAGACGAAGAAGTGACTTGGGACTTCTTACGTTCCATATAACTGCAGATCTGGAGAAGACATTTGACTGGAACGTCAAGCAATTGTTTCTCTATTTATCAGCAGAATACTCCACAAAATACAATGCTGTGAATCAAGTGGTCCTCTGGGACAAGATTGTCCTGAGAGGTGACAATCCAAAGCTTCAGGTGAAAGATATAAAAACGAAATATTTTTTCTTTGACGACGGAAATGGCCTCAAGGGAAACCCGAATGTCACTTTGACCCTATCTTGGAATGTCGTGCCAATTGCTGGGATTCTCCCTCTTGTGACAGGATCAGGACATGTGTCCGTCCCATTTCCAGATGCATATGACATAATGAAGACTTACTAAATTGTTCTGAATTTTAAACAGAGTTTTAGACTTAACAAATCACATGCCATTTATTTCTTGACTTGCATCTTAATTTGTTTTTCATTAATTTTTAGAATAAGAACTAACAAGAAAAAGAATGCTTGAAGGGAAATAATAATGGCCTACTTAAACTTAATTTTACAACCAAGACAAGAAAAAAGAAGGAGGAAGAGGAGCTGGAGGAAGAAGGTTGGGGAACAAGGAGGTCATGAGCATCGAATATTGCCTTAGGAGTATGAGGCAACTTCATAATAAGGATTTGTAAAAATCAATACATATTTGAAATGATGGTTGTATCTCATTTGCTCTTTATAGGCTTATCAAGAGTGTATGAAGGATAATTAAAACTTCCAGATACGTGTGGAGTTATAGGCACTCAGCAATTTGCCTTTCTTTACATAAACACACATTGTATCTGATGGACAAGTACACATTCTCTTTTAAGTTACGTTTTAAATGACTGAAAAAGTTGATGTTAGTTGTTTGAAGTCTGGCTTACAAAAAGATAAAAAATGATGATTTTTTTTTCCATTTGTCTTGGGACTACCCATAACGCTTGTGTTAATTTTTAAACAGGTGGCTTAGCAAGTTTCTTTACTTAAAAAATAGCCATTCATAGCTGTAAGTCATTATAACTCATTTAAAACTCCCAAGTCAACCAAATGTGTGGCTCTCAGTGTTTTCTCTAAGAGTGTCAGTTTGTATTAATGTCTGTGTATGGTTTTTTAGCATTGCTATTGAAGGTTGATAATGTTTGCATGATTTACTCTCAAAACTGAATTTGAGTCAGCATGCCTAGTGCCCCTAAGTGGTAAATTATTTACAATTTTCTGTGCAACCACATTTGATAACTATTGGGGTAATGATAATAACATTTGTTGTGTGCATTTTTTTTATTACAAAACAATCTAATGTGTGCCATGACAGTTTATATGTAGCAATTTGATGAGATGATTAGAACAAATGTTAACTCCTTACAGATGAAGAAACTGAAATTCTTTGTTGACTTGCCCCAAGGTCCAGTGGCGAGAAAGGAGGGAGTTAAAGGCTGAGCTAAAATCTTCTGATTCTCTAAGCTTATGCTTTCTCTTTTACTTGTATTATAACTGATTACATTTCACTTTGGGGCATAAGTTAACAGACATACTACACATGAAATGGGTTTATATAGAAAGCTGTCAACTTAGGTAATAAACAAACACCTATACACTACACAATGCTCTCCCAGCTTTTAGTACAGAGCCTGTATACATTATTTATGACTGCTAGTGGTTTAACGAGATCTGTTTCAAAAAGTTGTATCATGAATTTGAATATTTAGCATCTTTTTTTGGAGGAAATGTTCAAATCTTTCTTTGACTGTTTTGGGATATATGTTCTTGCTAAATATAGAATAATAGTTCTTGTTAAATATAGAATACTAGGGCTTAGTCCTACTATGTGATTGTAACTATCCTAATATGATACTTACATAGTGTACGCATATATTGAAACATCGCAAGGTACCCCCAAAATATGTATGATTATGTGTCAATTAAAAAGAAACAATACTAAAATAGTAACTTTGTTGTATTTTCATTTTTCTCTTCTAATTTACTTTAAAATTATTTGAATTATATGTGTTTACAGATTACAGTGTGCTAATTTTAATGTATTTAGTGAATGTTGTTCAATTCAAGTTAGCATTTTTATCTCCAGCTTTTTTTTAAATTATTACTAATTGAATTTGTGATGAGCAATTATCACTCAACAGTTGCATGACTCTATGAGCTAAAATACGGCATTTCCAAAAGGGTATACAATAGAACCAATCAAATCAAAGCAACTATTGTTACCCTCTCCCCATCTTCATATATTTATTTTTAGTCTGAGAGGGAGATTTTCAGAGAGAGAAGGGCGAAGAGAGAAAGAGATCTTCCATCTGTTGGTTCACTCCCCAAATGGCCGCAGCTGAGCTGATCCAGGTTGGGAGCCAGGAGCTGCTTCCCAGTGTCCCACGTAGGTGCAGAGGCCCAAGGACTTGGGCCATACTCTGCTGCCTTTCCAGGCCATTAGCTTGGAGCTGGATTGGAAATGGAGCAGCCAGGACTTGAACCAGGGAGCATTTGGGATGCTGGTATCACAGGGTGGTAAATATCTATTCAATTTCAGGCTGTGGAAGCTCCTGTTACTAATCTTTGTGGCCAAAGGTTTTTGTTTCAAAATGTCTTATGTATTCCTTCTCATTTACCTTTTAAAATCCCTCTGCTTTAACCTCCTTGAATATGCATGTAATTTAGTCTGTTTTCCCATCGCTGTTCCACTCCCAAATAAATTCATCTTTGGAGAATCTCACTCTGCTTGTTATTTAGTTTGACCGGCTATGAAACTGCATAGAAGATAGATGGCTATAACACTACACAATGTCAACTCACAAATATTTGTACAACACTCACTATACTGATTTATTGTGTATCTAGGTACTGTTCTTAGGGTTTTTATATTATATATTAAGTTTTTCTTCAAGGAACAAACCGTGGGTAGGAATAGATGTTCTCCCCATTGTACAAAAAGAGAAAATGAGGCACAAAGAGGTTCCTTTACTTTCCTAAGTTCACAGAGATCCAAGTATCTCAATGTCTCCTCAGTGTATTGTGTTCCATTGTCCCCCTTCCTGATTCATTTGAATTGCTAATTAGATGCAGAAGCTTGTTCAATTCAGGAATTTCTGGCAAGGATTCCTCAGAAGAAGTATTGATTTCTACCATGTTATACCACAGGACTCATTAGGTCTGGCTGGCTGTCTTCTGACTTTGAAATTGATTAATGGGGTCAAGTATTGCCATCCTGCTCCATCCTTTCTAAAATTGTCCATTTGCCTTTCACCTCACTTCTTTCAGTCTCTGAATATCATGGCCTAAAGATGCATTTCATTAAACATTTGAGAAATGATGATATTTTAATTCTGATTTCTTCTGCACTCAGCAGCTGGATTATCTGAATTAAGTTTCATCAGCTACTAGGTTATACTGAGATACAGAACAGACAGGAAGGATAGGATGAGTAATTTTTATAGTATTCCCAGTTTTTTAAGATTTATTATTTATTTTTGGGCCCGGCGCGGTGGCGCAAGTGGTTAAGTCCTCGCCTTGCACGCCCCTGGGATCCCATATGGGTGCCGGTTCTAATCCCGGCAGCCCCACTTCCCATTCAGCTCCCTGCCTGTGGCCCGGGAAAGCAGTCGAGGACGGCCCAAAGCTTTGGGACCCTGCACCCGCGTGGGAGACCCGGAAGAGGCTCCTGGCTTCGGATCGGCATAGCATCGGCCGTTGCGCTCACTTGGGGAGTGAATCATCGGACGGAAGATCTTCCTCTCTGTATCTCCTCTCTGTATATCCGCCTTTCCAATAAAAAATAATAAAAATAAATCTTTAAAAAAAGATTTATTATTTATTTTTAATTTGAAAGAGTTATAGAAAGAGAAGGAGAGACAAAGAGAGATTTTTCATCTGCTGGTTGACTCTGCAAGTGGCTGTAATGGCCAAAGCTAAGCCAATTCAAAGGCAAGAGCCAGGAGTTTTGTTCGGCTCTCCCATGTGGGTACAGCATCCCAAGGACTTGAACCATCCTCTACTGCTTTTCTAAGTCATAGGCAGGGAACTGGATTGGAAGTGTAGCACCTGGGACAGACCTGGCACTCATATGGGTGCCAGCACTCCAGGCAGAGTATTAGAGTGCTATTCCACAGTACCAACTTAGTGTTTGGGTTTTTGATAGAGTATCACCATGAACTCATATATGCTTATGTATTTCATACTTTAATCATCACAAGAATTTATCATTTTAATACTCAAATTGTCCTGTCTTTATGAAGTGGAAACAGCTTGAATTCTGCTTCTTTTTGTATGTTTGCTGGAGTGATCTGGACCTATCTGACTTAAATCACACCTCAGATTCCTAATTGGCTGTTTTTCCAAGGTAGCTGGTTCCTTTTACTTGAATATGGTTATAGAGGACCAGTCTAAAGATTAGAGTTGATTATTGTTACTAGGTTGATCATTATTGTCTTTTTAGTTCATGGCAGCAAAATAGACAGTGTATATCATCCACTTCTATTTTGAGTTGTTTCTCTATTCCACTGTAAGTAGTCATTTCATAAGTTTTAATATTCCAGGTTTTTAAAAGATTTCTCTATTTATATTTTAAGGGAAGTTTTACAGAGTGGAGAGAGAGAGGTGGCCACACTGGCTGGAGCTGATCCGAAGCCAGGAGCCAGGAGCCTCTTCCAGGCATTCATATGGGATGCTAGCATTGCAGGAGTAGGATTAGGTTACTATGCCACAACTGCACTCTGATTGGTTAGTTTATAAGGCTAGCTTGTTTAGTTTGCATATGAAAGGTAATCACACACACGAAATTTCTTTGCGAACTACTCCTTTTCAAGAAGCACCAAGCAACATAAGAAAAAGGGGGATGACGGTCAGAGTTGGTGGCACAGCAAGTTAAGCTCTACTTGACACACTGGCATTCCATATCAGAGTACTGGTTCAAATCCCTGCCGATCCAGTTCCCTGCTAACGTACCTGGGAAAGCAGTGGAAGATGGCAAAGTATTTGGGCCCCTGTGCCTATGTGGGTGACCCAGATGGAGCCATTTGAACTGTGAACCAACAGATGGAAAATTTCTGTGTCTCTGTCTCTCTTTAACTCTGCCTCTGAAATAACCAAATAATTTTTACAATTCTTCCTCTCCTTCCACTTTTAAAGCAAACAAAATTCTTGACAACAGAGACAGACTTTGTTCCACCAAACCTTGCAGGGTTGTGCCAATTGCCTTCTTTCCGGTCATTATCCTTTAATTACTATGCATTTTGCAGAGGTGACTTGAGGAGTCAAAGTGATTGGTATTTTGCACAACAGACAAGAACAGTAATTTTTTGAGGAGCAGCAGGCATATCACTTCATGGTTTCCATAGAAACAAGACATCATCACAGTGACAT